TTTTTTTTTTAATCTAAGGAGACTATAGAGTATATATGTTTAGTTTTCTTAAATTTGATAGGTAATGTCGTAATAAGCATACTATTTTCGTGATTAAACGCCGGGCCTCCGGGTAGATTTGCAAATAAGACCCTCAAGGATATAAGGATATCCGGGATATAATTAGCTTTACAAACTCCAGCTCCTAATATAATGCAAACGTCAAATAGATACCGGATCAACGAAGCTAAGTTTGAAATAAACGCCGGGGCATGGTATTTGAAGACTTCTCGACTCGGTATGGAAAATAATAAAGGGTGGTATGATATGTAATGTAGGAAGGTTATTGTTACAATAGTCATTATGCTTTCATACCACTGTTCCTTTCTTTTATAAAACTTTTCCGCTAATCAAGTTCACAAGGATAAGTTTAAGTGGCGGAAAAAAAGAGCTGTGAAAGGGCAACTTCCAAAACGTATTGTTACTACGTAATAAATAAATTCATATCACGTCATCAGACGGCCTTTATGGTGCCATCTTGTTTTGATTACTGCAGAACTGACTAAAAGGCCGAGACAGATAGTCACAAACCTTGCAAAGTTTATTAAAGTTGATTTTGCTTGTTGATTTCTTGTTTTAAGTGTGAACCATGAAGACATTCGCTGCTGTTTTGGTGGCTTTTTACGCAGCAGTGTATGGAGGTAAGATTATTAAGAAGGGATTCACCAGAAGCTCGAGTATAAACAAGCGAACAGAAACTTTGTATCAAAATCAAAAGAAATCATTTCTAACAACACCAAATATCAAAAACAGATTTAGAAGTTTATATGAAACACTTGAAAGTATTGGTGATATGAAAATCATGACGAAATTTTACCTACGTGTTTGCACAATTTCTCCGAACTTTAAATATATTTTCTCGAGTTCCCATAGGTAATTGTTTTGGTGTTATTTCAGGCAACTATTTATATCTTAAGCTTTTACAAAATGTAAAAAGAATATACTATCTTTCTGGTGCAAGATTTTTTGTCCACTAAAAAGTGAAATTGTCGATTTCCTATCGTATTTCGTCTTAACACGTCACGAATTTTTTTCTACAATTTTTTTCCGCTATATTTTACGCAGCACAGTAAACGTCACTGACGAAAGCACGACTAAATGTTTCGTTTCATTATTCCGGGGAAAGGAGGAACTAAAATGCGACTAGTTTGCGTCAGAGAGATTCGGCTTTTGCGCTGGTAAATTTTGAGAAAACTTCTAATGAATATCTGCAGATCATTGAGAAATTCAACAATTTGGTCGCATTTGTCCAAAACTTATAAATATTTTTCAAAGCAGAACAAAACAATCAATCCTTTGGAGAAAACTTCATTCAAAAATCTAGTTCCGTAGTATGTAAGCATAAACATTACATACAAAAAGAGATAAAATTTTGATACAACTTGCAGAGAATGTAGAACTAAAGAGAAATTGCATTTAACGATTTGAATAACTGTCAAATGATTTCTATACTATAAGTTATTTCCAGCTTTGCATGATAACATTGCCGGTTGGGTGTTTCGGACATTTCAACCTTCACCTTTATTTCAACAAGCATAAATTAACCTAAATAAAGGTGAAATTAAATATATTTTAACTAGGCCTCCTCGAGGAACGGTTAAAAGTTGGCAATTTTTTCGAAAAGGCCTTTGTATGAAGGCTTCGAGCTAAGTCACAATAACAATTCTAGTCGAATGTCATAAGAAGAGGCAATGTGTTATAACATTTTCATGCATAATTCAGACAACATTATCATAAATTATCTTAACTTGAAGGGTTTTCAGTGGAGACAGAACGCATTGGCGAGACCGTTCAAGATCAGAGCAAACTGAACTTCTCTGCCGAACAGATATTAAATTTTCGTTCTCTGGTGGCTCAGGTGGACATACTTCAAAAGAAAACGAAAGATCTCATAGTAAGTAACAAGAACTTTCCTTTAAGAAGCAGCTGATTACAACAGAAGCAGTGAGCTTGGATGGAGGGAAAGAAACCCTCTTGTTATTTAGTATAAATCTACTAGCGGTTTATCACGAATGCCGTTCTCTGATTGGCTACGCTACTCACTATATATTCTGTGATAGATTGTAAGTAGCGTAGCACTGCGCCCTTAACAAAATGACGGTGGCTTCTTGGCGTTTTCGAAGTGTCTGTGAAGAGGATTTAGATAAAGTTTTGAACGACTAGTAGATTTATACTAAAACGCAGCCCTCGTCAACAATCACGCAATAGAAATGGAGAGCGAATAATCTAATTGTTTGATAGCTGGGGTCTAGTTGAATGATCTAACGCGCACTCTGACAGGTTGATGTATGGTCACGTGAGTGAGTGAGTGAGTGAGTGAGAATGGCCCACTCTCCTACTAACCCAACGTTACTTTGACTTATTCTTGCCTTATTACTGTACAATAAAATCCAGGTATATAACAAACCACTTTTAAAATGAGTGGTCCTATAGGAAACAGTCAGTTGTGTTTTCCCTCGACTTTGTCTCGGGAAACATCGAGATTCTCGGGAAAACAAAACTAGCTGTTTTCCTCGGGACCAGTAACTAAGTGTATACGTAATTTTGTGGCATTTTGGACATACAGCCAGTCGTGTAGATGGTAATGTCATTACGAAAAGTCTACCTACCACCACATAATTATTAAGAACTCGCAAAATAGTCTCTCTTTTGCTGGAGAATCCGTGGGGAAGAATGCAAATCAAGTGAACGTGCGAGCGTCACTGCGAGCGTGACATACGAGCGGCGAGTGGCGAAGCCGCGAGCCACGAGTAGCGCGGGTGTCGGACGTCTTCCGACGCCCGCGGTACTTACGGCTCGCAGCTTCGCATTTGACGCTCGCACGCTTAATGTTGTTTTGTGTTCTTCGTTGCGTTCTTTCTCACGGATTTTCGAGCAAAGAGAGACTGCTCGCAGTCTAACTCTGTTATAACTTGTATGCATTGTGCGCCAACATACTTTTCATTATACAGACATTGGCTTCCATTAACAAAGTGTTACAAAATCTTGAACTGTTCCTAGTCTTGGCAAGGGAAGATTACTGGACCTTTCTCTTGCTCTGAGGCTTCTATTTTTTTAACTTGACAAAAGATGTAAGGATGAAAACACTTGGAAAGAATGCAATGTGCGCTCTGGCGGTAAACTTTACTTTTGCAATTTGCCACACTATCTCAATATAAGAAGTTACACGGAGAACTGAAATCCAATTGGATTTATTTCTGTTAAGTTAGCTATTTCCAGCTTAAAGAGTTAAAATTAACAGATTCTAAGTTGGCTAAATAAGTTGAGGCTAGCTGGCATCATTTACTATGATTTGCAATTGCTATCATTACCGTAAGTCCTCGAATTAGCGCCCCCGGCTTCGAATAAGCGCCTAAGCGCCCCTGCTATGGGCCGAAATTTAAAATAAGCCCCACCCTCTCGAATTAGCGCCCCCTCCCTTCCCCTCCATTTTGTGGATGAGTAATGAGACAACAAAGGATGTATAGTTTTCGTCATGTGGTATTAGATTTGTACATTGTTTCAGTTTGTGAACACGTTTAGCGAACGCGTTGAACACGTTAAGTACTAACGTTGCCCAAGTTTAAACTTTAGGATCAGCCTTTTATGTCAAAAACAGCATCGCCCACAATGCCGCGACACATCCGGGGCTTTTTTGTGACCTCCGCGCGTAAATTCAAACTGAATAATTATCCCAGCTGTCCAGACAATAAGAAAAATGACCGACATCTGCAAACAGTATGTATGTTTTGCGCGATTACGAGCTTATTAGTCAAGTTTAGAAAAAGTTTGCATATGGCTTTTGAAGATGACACATCAGTAGAAAATACGAGACCTTTTCTGAGATTTTACCGCAATTAGAACTAGTCGCAAATTTTATTTGAATTTGGTCCATTTCAAGGAATTTTTGGTATGAGAGTAAACTTCGAAGCTAAATTTTTCTTCGCTCGAATGCTTGACCAAAAAGTTTGCATATGGTTTTGGCCATTTGTTGCTTGAGACAGCTTTATGCCCAGTTTCAAATGAAACTGATGGTTCAAAGTGGTCGCAAACTCCAACTTTAGATTTTTTCCACCAAAGTTCTTGTTTTCCCTCTCCTTAGAAACTCCCACGGGAATAGAACGAACCTATTTTGAATCTCCCGCTAGAATTTAAATGTAGTCGAAGCTCCGCCTCCGCAAACAATAGGACCCCTGTGGGACTATTAAGCGTTAAACCACTATTAAACCAGCGCTTTGCGATTATTATTTAAAATACCCTTTAATGATGATTGCGTCTGTTAAAAAAAGAGATTTTTTCTCACAAGTGTACCGAAAAGGTGGTATTGTGTAGCCATTGACAACCTACATGCAAACTGTCTCAAAAGAGCTTTTATTCACATTTCGAATGCTGCCGAGGAGGCAAACAATTCGTCAAAGTCAGTTCTCTATCGGAAAACCGTAAGTCAAGATGTCGTCCGTACAAGAAATGCAGAAGGTTGATCGGGAGCTCTTTTTAGAGCTCATTGAATCCCCGATCAACCCTGCTTTCTTACACATATCCACACCGCTAAAAGACTGCGACCCAATGTTTTATTTACAAATTAACAGAGAAGCTCTGTGGCAATGGCGTGCCATCAAGAAACCGGGCCGGCTTAAGGCGGATGCTTGTTCATTTATGACCAACACGATAAAGAAAGTATACCGTGTTTATTTCCCTTTTCTCTTCATCATCCTGGATCGATGACATTTTTTTGGCATACTGAACCTACTATGAAAAGAGCGAGTTCAGCGGTGTTAGGAGAGAGGCCGTGAAAAACAACCACAACGCGCGCAGTAGTCATTCAAATGATGAGTCAATTTTTCGCGTACCTTCACTCGCGCGTGACAAATTCTCCGCCCTTGCTTGATTCTTAGGAGTTAGCAAAAGCTTGTTTTCGGGGGGCGGGCAGTAAAATTCTTTTTTGCAAAGCGTAAGTTTTGTTTGTTATCGCTTTTCAAACACGCGTGGTGAAGGTACTCTTCGCGCTTGTCTGGATTTGTGACTCAAGCTCACAAGCCAACACAAATACTGAAAGGCCGGATTTTCTGGAAATTTAATTCTAACAAAGCGCAAGAAATAATTGCTAGCATTACTCTCAAGGCAGCAAGTGACGCTTTGCGCTCGTCTCAACCGCTTTTAAGAGCCGCTTTTTTTTTTTTTTTACTATGGCTAATTAGAACGCTATTGTCCACTTTATCGCACCCTGGAATTTGCTTCACACTCCCAACCGTTTGATTGACAGCAATGGAATCGCGAAGAGACTCGAGGTATTCCCAAAGCTAAGTCTGTTAACCAATCACGGCCGCCTAGTTCTGAATATCCAAGTTATTATGCCGCGCATTAATAAAATGAGCACTGCAAGTACATGTCGCTAAAGACAATAGCATTGTGGGCGATGGCTTATGTTGTTGTTTACGCGCAGATGATGTATTAAAAAATGATCATGTCAGGTCACGATTTGGGAGAAATTAAATAAGCGCCCCCCCTCGAATAAGCGCCCCCGTCTTCTTCTTAATTTGAAATAAGCGCCCCGGGCGCTAATTCGAGGATTCACGGTATATGATCACACCTACTTCGTACGTTGTTCATCTTTCTTTCAAATTAACAACTGAAGCTTTCATCACACATCGCTCTAAACATTCTTAAAAGAGGTTTCTTTTAATAGGAATGAAAAATACTAATTAAATTGTTGTTTGTACCAGGGTTTTGCCACAACAAAGGTTTGTGTCCCGTAATGAAGGTGTTTCAAAGTAGGGGTTCCCCTGAATGCTTTTCATGGAAAAATACTTCAAATATTTAATGGCTGTTTTTTTCCACCCAGATGCCGAAGTTGCCGCAAAATGTTACTATCACGGTGTTAGATTCTTTGGACCTCTCAGCGGATATCACTGTTTCAACTGTCAACAGGGTAAGAAGTACCATCCGTCTATATACAGAAATAGTCTTGATCGTAAAGACTAAATTCTCAAAATGAAAGTTCGTTGGAATAAACCAAACAAACAAAAAGACAAACTTAAAACGTTGCCAGTAATATTGAAGTTGGAGTAGGCCCGTGAATAGACCGTGTTGGAGCTACATCAGTAGTACACTGCAGTGTTTAAGCTAGACCTAGGTTTTTGATACGTGATTTCCCAGTCATGAATCACCCATAACGGTACGTTCTTCCACTTCAAACTGGACTAGACGCCAAAATACTGAAAATTCCAGTTTGAAGTGGAGGAGGTCGCAGCTAGCGGCCGCCATGTTGCGAGCCTTCTCTCCCTCTCGTGTGTTATCGGTATCCGGCGAGAAGTAGTTTCGTAAAAACACGCTTCAGACGGCCCAGGAAGGCGGAAAAACACCACAAATGAGTCGATTATCATTTCATGTAACTTTATTGGGATATTCAGACCGAGATTTAATTTGGATATGCAATTTTTAGAGCTTTATCCATAACTCTCGTAGATTCAGTTCGCTTCATATATAGAGGATATTACACGATGGCGAGAAGATATGAATTTTATATTCGAGTGGCAAGAACAATATCTCACGAGTGAGCGAAGCGAACGAGTGAGATATTGTTNTCGGGTCCCGGATGAAGTGGCGTATGGAATCTACGAGTGGTTTAGTTCCCAGTAAAGCACTCTTCTCCATATAATAAAAACAATTATTAAGCACGAGCACATCAGATCACATAGAGTGGTCCGCCTGTGACGTAACGTGACATACTCGAGAACTGCAACAAACCAAGCGCTATGAAAACAAAAGATAATGACAGGCCTACACGGACTTCCCTCGTGAATTGTGGTAGCGATGCATTTTACTCGTATGTGCTCGAAAGTTACTCGTATGTACTCGTAGGTTACTCGTATGTACTCGTAGGTTACTCGTATGTACTCGTAGGTTACTCGTATGTACTCGTAGGTTACTCGTATGTACTCGTAGGTTACTCGTATGTACTCGTATGTTACTCGTATGTACTAGTAAGTACGCGTATGTTACTGGTATGCACTCGTAAGTTACTCGTATGTACTCGTTTGGTGTTTTAGTCACGATCTTGTGCATGAAGACTGACGAATGTATACAGGAGGAAACGAGTAAGGACACAATAACATAACTATAATGACATACGCATGCGCAGAATGAGTGGGATTCTCGATATAAGCTCATTCTTGAGTGAAACTCGTGTAGCGTTGGAAGAGAGAGTGGATTGCAAGCACTCTTATCAAGCAGTATAGCAAATTCTACAACATCATTTGCGGAATTTCAGAAGTCTGGGTCCGACAGGGCGTAATGATTGGTTAACTACCTTGAGCTTCTGAAACCTGATCATAAAACGCCAAAAAATCCCGGTTATATTGGGATAGGAATAATAGGCGAACAAGCAAATAAAGGTAAACAAAGACATTCTAAGATCAGAAATATTGTTTTTCTGCTCTGGAATTATAATCAAATAAATTCCTGTGGTCAGAGCGCAATAAAAGTTTAAAAGTGGAATATTTCTTCTGGCTTAACCGAACTTTATTTTTGCAACGTACATAGTGCAAATACGAAATAATACTAAGGGTAGTTATATCATGTTCATTTAAGTCTCGCGGAGGCCAAAATAGTCACGCAGATATTGGTTAATTCGAAGCCATTGTCTCTAATCAAAAAGGCGAGGTTTAAAAGTGTTGCTTTCTGTGGCAAGCAAGATCTTTTGTTTTGCTGGAATCCACCTGGTAAAATATTTAATTATTTAATATTCCTCCACTATACGCATGTGCAGACGACAGATGCAGGAGTTCTTGTTGATGATATGGAGAGGTTTATCAGATTTGAAGCAGCTGTTGATCTGGTGACTAATACTTCGTGTGACGTCAAAGTACAGGATGCAAGCCGAAAGTTAAGCCGCGTTTTATGGAGTTTGATCTCATTAATGAGATCTGTGGTAAGTTGGTGGTCTCTCGATAGAATGAAAGGCCAAGGGTACGTTTCTTTGGGAAAATGCAAGATTGGATTCTTAAAGTCCAAAGAAAACGGACTTCGCTTTTCTTTACTAAACAGATTAATCCTGATCGGAAGATCATTCTGATCATGGTATATCAAAGGAACCACAAAGTCCTTGCCCAGAGTGGAACTTTCGGTTCCTTTAGTGCGACATGGTCCGAGTGATCTTGGATTGATTTGCTAAGTAAAAAAGCAAAACCCGTTCTTGGGTTAAAGATTTTAGTCTTGGATTTTCCCAAAGAAACGCAACCATAGTTACGAGTTGACTGAGATGAATAACCTCTATTTATTTCATTTGAGATTGATAAGAAATAACGAGATGATGGAACTCTTTCCGCAAAGCGTATTGATCATCCCACTTCACCCATCCTCACAGCTCAAGTAACATCCTGGGTGCCTTAATAAATTACTTTATCTACCCTCGGATTTCAGAGTTGCTTATGCAGTTAATATCTCTGGGCATTTAACCATCAGATGAGAGATAGACCACCACACCGGGAACTACGTCCCCTACTCTTTTCGATCAGTGTGTGGGTTCTTTTACGTCCCACAGATTTAATTATGAAGAGTTGTGAGACTGGGCCTACGGTTTAGCGTCCTTTTCCGAGAAGACTAGAAAGTCTAACCATATGCAGATTACAAAGGCAGCCCTTTCTCCTCAATTATTTAAAGACCCTGGGTATTAGTCCAGCCGGGGTTTGAACCCGCGACCTCCTGCACGCTGTTTCGGTGCTCTACCACTGGGCTAACCGGTCCGCGGCCTAGAGATAAGCCTCACTTCTTCTCTAGCCTACCTCTCTCACACGCCCTATCGTTGCGTGACACAGAGCTAAGACTCTTCTTTCTTTCTCGCCTTCTCGCCTTCTCGCCTTCTCGCCTTCTCGCCTTCTCGCCTTCTCGCCTTCTCGCCTTCTCGCCTTCTCGCCTTCTCGCCTTCTCGCCTTCTCGCCTTCTCGCCTTCTCGCCTTCGTTCTTCCTTTCTCCTTTCTTTTCTTTTTGGTTGAAAACGTAAAACTCTGAGTCGATTGGATGATGCTAGTCTAAGGCCGGTCAACTCTAAACCCTGGTAACTGAATAAGCACCAGGGTTGGGTTGTTCGGAAGCCGGTTAACACTAACCCAGGATTAAAAGCAAACCTAATCGAAGTATAAATTTTTCTTGAATAAAAATAATTTTCATTGCTTATGTTTTGTGTAGTTTGAGATTATTCAAACTCAAAACAGAAGGCGCAACAAAAGGGAACTTAAGCAAACCAGGAAGGAAACGACAACGAGAACGTAACCAAACAAAAGGTTTCTTGAGCAGAACAATATCTGTGCACGTGCGTTATAAATCCTTGTACATTTCTTAGCCGTCCTCTGCAAAACAACAACGTGAAATGACCAAGTTCTGGGTATTTTGCAGAACGTCAGCCACGACGGCCAATTTTCCATGCTTTCTTTTGGAATTGATCGCCGGCGTTACATTGCGATCAACGGGCTAAACAGATCTAGATAATTGAGACATTCAAAGGTAAAGTATAAAGCCCACGGCGCCGCCGTGGTCATTGCTTAAGGTCCCTAATATAAACAGAAAACCTCACGGCAAAGTTGCAAAACTTAAATCAAAATTGGCGCTTATCCTGGGTTAGCTTTTAATCGGGCTTTGAACAACCCAACCCAGGACGTTTAATTATCACCGTTTTAACCGCTAAATGACCTTTGAAATTAAAACGCTCTTTGCAATGTAGACTCCTGTCAATCAAACAACGGTACCTTTCATGTCTGCGAAGCGAAGCGGCTTCCTAGTCACGAGGTGTTGCGGGCACCCGGTGCTAAATAGAGGAAACATGAAAGTTTCTACGCCAGCAGTTTATCTTTTGCGAATAGCATATACTATGTATGACGTTTCTCATTCGCTATCTTTTGTTAATTGCAGATGAGAAAGAACTCCATTGCGCAACCACCGCAACAAGACTTAAGCGGTTTGAGAGGGAAATTAGACAAGAAAACAAAGGAATTCTTGGTGAGAGAAGAGTAGTGTTAAGCAAAATGTGCCTTAAAAAATATGCCATTTGTGAGTGATTCCGGTGTACTTTCAACTGAATGACAGCGATATTTTTATTTTTTCGTCATTTACAGACATTTATCGGAGCGGGTGACAAGCAGATCATGGTTAACGGCCAAGTCAGACGATCAGTTTTGAACAACGTCAGAAATTACGTCATCATGCGCGATTTGTCCGAGTCACTGCTCTTCTTTAAAATTGACTTTGGAAAATTGATTAATTAGATGCTTTGATCCCTTTGACCGGAAAGATCGATATAAACGCTGTCTTTACTGATTGTGATGCATCCATTTAGTTATGAGAATAAAGTAGCATGTCACATCAATAGTCTTCTGGTTGAACTTGACTTCTCCTAGCCTGTGTACATTCACTGAAAAGCAGGATGGGAGGGGGGCCTCCTCGCAGTGGGTGGTAGGCCGTGATCTTATGTAACTGTACTGGAAATGCTTTCGCTCAGTTTAGAGTTGAAATTTAAAAAGAGGATTCTTAAACTTTATGAATGTCAAATAATCACTGACAAATTGGCCAAGTGCTTTCGTTTAAAGGTTCTTTTTTCCACTGTTCTCCAGAGTGGATTTAATACTGTCAATTAATCGTTTCCAAAATTTAAGTTCCGTCAATTTATGATTGATATAGTTGATGATTATTTAGATCCCCTGCGGTCAAATATTCCTTTGTTTAAAAAGGCATACAAACGAGGCGAAAAGGTCAATACAATGCAGAATTGACCCATTTGTCTCGTTTGTATGTCAAACCGCTGATAACTTCAGTAACAGCTATTGTGGAAAATTTGGAAAGTTTCTTGTGTTGGTCCGTGCAATAGATTCAGTTAATTACCTTTTTCTTGTCAAAATGAAAGGGGTTTTGGCATAAAGGGCTACATCAGGCCTAATGGAACCTAATGTAAAAAGTGAAGAATGAAACAATTGGCCATTTCCGAATTATTACCTTTAGCCCCTTTCTCAAAGCGACTCTTGATGCCTATCCTTTGATATGGAAATGAATTTCATTTGCATGCAAATAATACTCATTTTCAAATGACTGGTTGGTTACCAGGCTTCCGTTTGACAGAGATGTTTCGGGGAACTCGAAAATGGGCTGATTTCGCTCGGTATTTCCTGACCGGCGCTCGAAAGTTGTTTTTCATATTTTTACAAGAGCATTCGTATAAGGAATCTAACTCATTTGGCTTTCCTTTGTTTGTTTGTTTCTTTTCATTTCTTTCTCAATTCATTGTTAACCCGTAAATTGTGAAAGCGAGTCACGGGCTGTAGATTATCTGCTAACTTTTCGTAACTCGCTGTTTTGCGGGCACATATATCGATTGACATCTCTAGGACAGCTTGTTACGTAACTGCGAGTGTTGAACTAAAAATGGAACTGTTAGCTCAAAATAACTCGACTTAAATGGTCGCTGGAACTTCTGGTTAATCTGTGTTTGTAAGTGTTAGCTTTGTGCTTGTAAGTGTTAGTTCAATTAACTCAAATTAATTGTGCTACAATTTCCGTGTCATTTGTCGGTCAGGAAAAGTATTAATCTCAATCGTTCGGGCGTACGTCACGCAACGGTGACGTAGATGCTGCGAAAGGTTTAATTCAAGTCACGGAAAGTTTGACCATATTTGTCAACATTATGTTTTACTGCGTTGGTAAACGGTTTTTAAATAACTTTTCTTCTATGGGAATGAAGTCCGGAGAAAACATCTTTATGGAAGTTTACTGTTAGAATCATTATTTTCAGTTTGAGAAGCTTTGGTTATTGCTCATTGTAATTTTTCCCCCTTAAAACATAAGTGTTTTCTTTTTTTTATGAAAAGATTGATTTCATATTACGCAAAGGTTTTCTCGTGTCAATCATTATTTGCTGAGAAATTCACGGATTTGCTCATAGAACGCTTTGATCTTATTTCCGGTTCAAACACTCTTCGCATACTGGCAAAACGTGTGAAATTATTCCTTATTTCACTTATAATTATCCATTAAACCTCACCTATAAATTGGATTTCCCTAACAGGATTGCGTTCCATTCCACATTAACAAGAGCAGGTTCAATGTATCCAGCCCCAGTTTAATTCGTCTCACTAGAAATTACATTAAATGTTACCGTGACTTAAAACATGGTTCATCGCCAATTGAATTAACAGTACCTAGGTCAATAAAAATGCGGTGTTTTGAATTAATATTTTATTGGATTATTAGACAAGCCGCCTTATTCGGTTATCATGGCTGCCGTCTCGGTCACGCTGGACGATGAATCTGGCTCTTCGAGGTGTAGATCCTCTAACATCTCCTGGAGGTTTATACGTGGGGCCTCGTCATCGTCGTCTTCAGATGCACCCTTGTGATCACGATCTAAAGTGAAATCAAGTAAAAAAAAAATCGTTCAAAACTTATCTTCTAGGCAAATTTTACTATAGCACAAATTATAACAAGCGCGCGTGGCACGTGCAGTAAAAGAGCTCACAATTAGATGTTGGTCGCTTACCGACATAGATGTTCACATGCTGTCTGTAAGTCTTGTCCTCTTCCAGATCACCCAGGAACGCATCATAATCCCTGTTACGTGGAAGGACATTCGATCTGATTAGTATCGAAGATTCTATGAGCAATAGCAAAGTGCACGATTTGAAGGAAACAATATAATGGGTACTGCAGGACGCATTCTGGTTTGCCTCGAGCCACGGTGACCCATACCGCCAGAGCTTAGCTCAGATTCTGTAGCAATAATCAACTAGGAATCTCTAAACCCATGCTAGTCCTTCGCAGGGTTACCCTACCATCATCAAATAAGCCAGTACTCGTTTATACTCCTGAGTGTGGAGCAAGAAACTGAAGATCGGATACCACAGATCTTAAACAGGAATACAACGCAACGACCCAGGTCAGGGCTCGAAATGAGGTTAATGCTTCTCGTTTCTGGTCAAGGAACTTTACTGGCGTCCAGAAGAGTTATTACACTTCTTATTACTTATGCTATGGATACTGGAGCCAGTCAGATAAACCATCTACACAAGTGGGCTTGTACATGAAGAAAAACTAAAAGTCTTTGTAAAACCAATACATTTAGCCTACCCGTCAAGGCTGTCTTGATCAATTCCAGTCACGTCTTTGTCGAGACCTTTCAACTTCCAGTTTCTTCTTCGATGTCGTTTCTTTTTATCACCATAGGATTTCTTCACCAAAATCTGAAAGCATGCACCCACAGTACACAGGTATGCATAAGCCACGGGTCTAACCGAGATCACATTAAGCAATGACTACGTAATCAATTCCACCACATACTAAGAAATAATTGTTCATAGCAAATGCTCTAGAATGTATGGACATACAGCGTGTAGAGAATGCGTAAGCTTTATTCAGACATGATTAAGTTCAAAATATACCACATTAAAAAAAAAAAAAAAAAAATACGAAAAAGAAACAAATTTGTCGCGTTATTTTTAAAACTCTGGGAACGTGGCTTATGATAAATCTCCTACAGTGCTAGTGCATTTTAACGTATAGCACTATCACAGACTGTAATTAACTCTTAAGAGAATTTACAGCTACACTACCCACTGAAATGTCTTACTAGATAACTCCCCACTTAAAAAGTTTGTCTTGGTTACCCGTTAAGGACCAACTATACTACCGCCAAGCTACCATGGCTTTTAAATGCATTTCCGGACACGCC